AAGAAATTCTGAACAATTCTCCTCCTCAAGCCCCCTTTCCTTTGAACCCATGTTTTCATCTTTCAATTCTTCCCCATTTCAAATACCCTCTTGACCAACCCACTTCCCCATGTCTCGCAGACCCCTAGATTCCCGCCAATCCATTGACTCCTGTACTCTCAAGCTCCATACCTGGAGACCCTTCCACCATCTCCACTCTGCTCCCAAAACCCTAGATTCCGATACCCATATCTCACCTCCCACAACTTCTAAACCCTACTACTCATCCACCGCCCTTCACACCAAGCGCCCTTGTCTCTCCGATCGAACTACCTCTTTCAATGTCGACGCCATCGACATGTCCAGGTTGAGTTTGATTGACGACGACAAGCCTTCTATTGCTGCAGGGCGTTACACTCGACGTAGCTTTGGATTGATCGCTAGGAAGCGCCGCCGGCGTGGATCGAGGTCGGTTTCCGGGCGGAGTAGCGATCGGAGTGGGACGAGGCGGTGCTGCTCTGTTGGAGCTTCGGCTGCCCATGGGACTTGCTCCGATTTCCCTCTGGCGGTTGGGACTGATTCGAGTGGGGAGTTGTTTGTGAATGGGGATGCGAATTGGTCTTCTGATGTGAGTGAAGCCAAGAATTCGAGGAGGGAGAGAGATGAGAAGGATCATCATTTGGGAGGTGGGTTTGGTTCTAATGGAGGTCTTGATGCTCAGGGAAATGAATCTGGGTATGGTAGTGAACCTGGTTATCGTGGAGATGGTGAATTTGGGTATGGTGATGAGATCGATGAGGAAGATGAAGATGCCAGATTGCTGTTGTGGGGTGAACGACTCGGAGGTTCGTGTTCTTCTTCTTCTTCTTCCTTTCATCCTAAGAGTTCATAAATGTTAATAATTAATTGAGTCTCTGACCTTTAAATGTTGATCTGGAGCTTAGAACCACTGGTAGTTTGGGTAAAACAATCGACGTCGAATTCAGTAGCTCTATGAATGAATTCTGATTATACATTTAGCATTCTATGGACTGTAAACTATATTCAAGTGAACGTATGCTTCATTTCTGATGATATCAAATGTGTTCTTATCCTAGTTTCGTTAGGAAAAATGATAGCAATGTGTGACTCGTGCTGTATCCTTTATACTTAGAATCGAAGATCATCAAAAACTGACTATATTGGGATCGGATCCAAGTTAGGATTGTTAGGAGGGAGTCCCACGTTGGGTAATCAAGTGGATGATCATGCATTTATGAGGCGTTTCGAGAAAACCAAAAGCAAAGCCATGAGAGCTTACGCTCAAATTGGACAATATCATACCATTGTGAAGAGTCGTGGTTCCTAACATGGTGTCAAAGTCATGCTCTTAACTTAGTCATGTCAATAGATGTCGAACAAAGTTGTGAGTCTCGAAAGTGTGGTCAAAAGTGACTCACGTGTCGAATAAATGATGTAATTTGTTCGAGGGCTCTAGAGAAGGAGTTGAGCCTTGACTAAGGGGAGGTTGTTTGAGGGTTCTATAAGCCTCAGGAGAGGCTTTATTGTGTACTTTGTTCGACGGGAGGATTTCTGAGAATTATTGGAAGGGAGTTCACGTTGGCTAATTAAGTGGATGATCATGCGTTTATAAGTAAGGAATACATCTCCATTGGTATGAGGTCTTTCGGGGAATATCATACCATTGTTGAGGGTCGTGGTTCCTAACAATCCACGGTAAAATTAAGGTGTTCAAGATCATTTATGAACATTGTATTTTCGTTACGTTCTTGATTCGTGATCTATAATGTCTATTTCGGACCTATCTTAAATCTATCATGTCAAATGCAGCTATCCGCTCAAGAAATTCCTCTGGGCTGTTGTTAGAACTTACAAGTTCATTTAACTATCTCTACTTAATCTGTAAGAACTTACACAAGTTCATTTGGCTGTGGCTTCTTTTGATTTTGATTCTGAATTTCTGAGATGCACATGCATCGCATCCTATGCAGATTCTAGAATGGAAATTGTAGGAGAGAACACGTTTTCAGATCAGAAATCACACCATAGATGTCGCCGTAAGAAGCACGAATGTAGAATGGTCGACACCCTGAGGTGATGAAGCTAACATCGAGCTCGAAACGAGGCGACAAACACTTTGAAGCTCCTGATGCTCTGAGACCTGGAATCTTCAACTGCTAAGGATCCCCAGTTTCGAGATTGTCCTTAAAGTGCAGCTTACAGTATCTAGATTCCTGGTATGAACTGTAGAACACTGACTTCCCGACGACTGCTGGTATGAACTGTAGAACACCGACTTCCCGACGCTCGCTCACAGGTACATCGACAGGGAAGAAAACATAGTCCCACTGTCAAGTTATCTTGTTTCACTTTCAACTGAACTCTTTTGTATCTGTTTTAACAGAGCTATGAAAAAGGTATAATTTTGTTATTTTTTATAAAAATATTTTACTATGTCTATCATTAATGGATCAATAATTTTAGCTGTAAAATTGAAATAAAGGAGTAAAGTTCAAATTATTATCTATTCATATGGCAATAAATAATATAAATATTGATGGAGTAATTAATAAATAAATTTTTATTAATTTTTTAAAAAGTGCATTTCTATGGAATAAATATTTTAAACTACCAAATTAGATTAAAATTTAAATAAAATTTGAGATAAAAATGAAATTTATTTTAGGAAAAACATCACATTTTATAATTGTATTAATTTTTCACCATAAAATTTTTAATTTTAGATAATTATTGCAATTTTTATTAATTTATGCACTAATTTTAACAAAAATATTGCAAAAAAACATTGACTACTTTATTGGACATGAAAATAGGGCATTTGAATGAAACGACGTCGTCGCCTTTTTGGGCGTCTTTGTTAGTGAGGAAGCGGAGAAGCTCATTTCAAGAGGGATGGTGAAAGGGGAAGTTCTAAGCGCCTACAGAGCGTTGCTCAGGGCAACCAAGAAGTCTTTCGCCGGCGATACCTTGATGCTGAAGGAATCCGCTGCCGAGGTTCGTCGGAAGTTCGAAGAGAGCCGCCATGTGACTTCAGATCCCGAGATTCGTAAATTGCTCGAAGAAGCTCGGGAGGCCTCCCACTTCATCTCCAATATGATCGTTCAGGCCAAGCTCACTTCTCGCGGCGGCTATGGTATTCTACCGCTTTCTTTTTCAATTTTGGCTTCATTTACGGTACTCTTTGATAAATTGAACAAACAAAACCAACAACTAATCAATTACTTGGCTAAGGACTAGTGAGTTTGAAATGAATGTATTGCAGCCAACATGTTTGATAAAATGCCTCACCCAAATTCTTCCGCGTTTTATTTAGTGGAACACTAGAAACTACTGTAGCCTCTTCTGGGGATGTTCAGTTCATAATTTTAACAGGCCGGGCTTTATGAAACATTGGTTTGGGGATTAAACATGTGTAACCTGTGTTTGCATCATAAGAATGAATTGTTTATAGAAACATAAGTTTGTGTAATCTTGATGTTGGTTAACATAACATGGATAGTCTTCCTCAAGGAGTGGAAAATTTAAACTTCAGATCTTTAAAGGAGGTTATCAATGCCTTAGCCCGGGGGGGATACTCGAGTTAACAACTTAGATGGCTTGTTGTTAACAAACCCGGACTCCATTTTCATCATAAACCAAAATAAGTTTTTTAAAAACTACATTTTTTCGAATTGTTAAAAGGTAGAGAAACAAAACAAATAACCGCATAGGTGGTAGTAGTGTTTATAAATTTGATTTTCGAACCCTAGCCTCATAGATTGGGATAACAAACTTGTATGTCACAGGTTAAATTATAGAGTTCTAACCCATTAATCAAATACATTATAAGATGCTAACTAAGATGTCAAACTTCCTAAAAGTGCATTGTCCTTATGAACAAAGTCTGTGAATTTGAAACCAACAACTGATCAAACAAATAAGTAAGCAGTATTTATGAAGCCTTGCGTTGGAAATTGAGATTGTGTAATTTTGTGTTTGTATGAAATGAATGAATAGATATAGAAACTTAAATTTTGTGTTTATATGGATAGCATGTTATCAACAAATTCATATCAAGCTAGGATTAATTTCTAAACCTCGAATTACGCAATCGAAATCCTTTTCAAGCTTCTAACTAACATATCAAACTTCCTTAAAATGTACTCGGATTTGCTTGTAAACAATGTCTGAGTAGAACCGAATTTGATTAATGGGTATTGCTGCAGAAATGAAGCCGAGTAAAGAACATGCTGGTGCTACACTAGAAGTTCCTTCTGAGGAGCTTCTACGCAGATCTAAATGAGGAGATGAGTCGATGGATGCTGAATTTCTCTGCAATAGTTGCTTAAATTTCAGCTTATGCTTCACTAATCAGGATTTTTTTTTGATACTTTGAAGAATTTGGAACCCTTTTCTCTTTCTTTTTGTTTACTCGCTGGAGTCTAAATTTATTTGTGTTTGGTCAAATAAACAACGTGTCACAGTCATGTTTGTCCATGGCCTATTCACTGCCAAGAAAAGTGCGATTGTGATACTATGGATCTTTTGTGTCGAATGCGATTGTGACACTATAGATCTTTTGTGTCGAATGCGATTGTGACACTATAGTTCTTTTGTGTTGTGGCCATTGGAAGTCCCTATTTTTTTACCCTTTTTAGCCAATTGATGATTGGAGGAAGTTGGACTCAAGTGCCAAATTTTGGCTTATAACAATCTTCTTCTTCTTTTTTTTTTTTTTAGGGAATTCAATTTTGCAGGATGAATTTTATCAAGAACAATTTACTGGGGAGTAATAATAAATATTTGTATTTATATTTATTTTTTATTTTTTAAATATTAAAGATCTATTTTCATATTTTATTTTTAATATAAAAGATAATTGTGGGAACAATTTAGGCCAAATTTTTAAAGGGAAAGAGTAAATAAAAATAGAATTTTTGGGAACATAATTGAAATTTAATTATGTATTTGGTATAAATAAAGCTATTTATTCCTAATTTAATTATGTATGTAATTAATCTCCACAAAACCCTAAACCCCTCACCCCACTTCGCGCGCCCTAGACTTTTACGGTACCGTATCGTCCTCTCTTCTCCTCGCCGCCGTCGTCACCGCCGCTCTTGAATTGCCATCTCTGCGCTGTGTTCATCTCTCGCTTTCTCTCTTGTAATCCGTTGCTGGACCGATTTGAATCCAAATCGGTTTGGTTCTTCTCCACCATTCGGTTCTGTGATCGAACCGATTTCCGCTCCGGATTTTTGTCCTTAGGGTTGCCATTGCGTATGTGTATTTGATTTTGGAGGGTGCTGGAGTTCTTCGCCAGCAAGCTTCTGAAACTTCCCTTTCACTATTCTTCTAGCAAGCAATGGCTCGTATTGGAAACGTAAGAACATCTTCACTTTCTTTTGCTAGTTCTGTTCGTTTGTAACCTGTTTATTGTCTATGGGTTTTGTCTTGTTTTATATAAGATTTAAGTTTTCTTGTTGTTAATTGATTGAAACAGAAGAAGAAGAAGGGGTTTGTGAAGCCGATTACAGCGAAGAAACAGTCTAATGTGGATCATGTTACTGGGGAGAAAATCCCGAAGAGTTTTGTTTTTTCTAGAGGGAAGTTACCTGGTCCACTCAGGCAACTGCAAATGGATTTGAGAAAATTGATGCTTCCTTACACTGCTCTCAATCTTAAGGTATACTCTTATTGTTTTTTCTTCTTTGTAGTCACTGGAACTTTCCTGTGTGCTGATTGCTTAAACAAGTTAATGTTATATCTGGAAATATTCTTCTTATTTGTGCGTATTGATTTTGCAGGAGAAGAGACGGAATAATCTTAAAGATTATTTGAATGTTGCTGGGCCCATGGGAGTTACTCATTTTCTTATACTCTCCAAAACTGAAAGTGCACCATATTTGCGCGTTGCTAGGACCCCTCAGGGGCCAACACTTAACTTCAAAATACAGGAGTATTCGCTTGCAGTAGACGTTGCTCAATCGCAATTGCGCCCAAGATGTCCAAAAGACCTTTTCAAGAATCCCCCTTTGGTAACAGTCTCAATTTCCCTTGTATAAACGTGTTCCTTTTGGTATTTGTCTTGTTTGAGGTTTGGGTAAACTAGAGTTCTCTGTTTGAGGTTTTAGATCTTACTGTGTGCTGATTGATGAGCTATTTCCAAGCGAAAAGTTTTGACAATTACGATTCGCTTCTATCTCTCATGTCACCCTTGGTTTTGTTTCATAAGCAAGCTCAATATGCAATGTTTTTCGAAGTACACAAGCTAAAAGAGCATTTTTGAAGAAAACATGATGGCATATTGATTCATTGCGCTCATGTAATTAACTCGGTGAATCATTCATCTAACATTTTTGTTGGCAGATTGTGCTTTCTGGTTTTGGGACTGGAGATCAGCATCTGAAGCTCACTACTATAATGTTCCAGAACATCTTCCCAGCTATTGATATAAATACAGTAGGTTTTCTTATTAATTCAACTGAAAGTTCAGACTGACCAGATTTCCTTCACTCTCAACAACAATTTAATTTCCATGTATCAGGTTAAACTTTCATCGTGCCAGAGAATTGTATTGCTTAATTATAACAAAGACACAAAGCTCATTGATTTCCGACATTATTCAATCAGATTACAGCCTGTTGGTGTTACCCGTAGGCTTAGAAAGTTTGTTCAGAATCATCAAGTTCCTGATCTTAGGAGTCTTCAAGATGTGAGCGACTTTGTCACAAAGTAAGCTACGTGGTTGGTTGTTTCATTGTTTTAATCAAGTCCATTTCGTTGTCTGTACGTTGCAGTGTTCACAATTTAATTTCCCATGTTTCTTGAAGTTATGGAGTTATGTCAATCCATTTTAATCTTTTTCTTTTCTTTCTTTCTCAATGAAAAGCAACCTTTCATTGAGAATTTGTTTTCTCAATACAAAGATATAGGGAAAATGTTTAGTGGTTTTCATATGGTTCGTTTGATAAGGAGCTTAAGTGAATCTCTGCCATGTACCTTATTTGATATCCAACTATGGAAAGAAAAGAAAAGGGATCCATCATTATAAATTCTATTTCTATCTCATGTTCTTACATTAGCCTCTAATTGTTTCTTACAAGTTTTCTCGTCCGTTGTTTGAAAGGGCTGGTTATGGGTCAGAAAGCGAGGCTGACGATGAAGCAGCAACAGTCATGTTGGCCAGTGATCTAGGTAGAGTCAACCAAGCTTCTACGAAGAGTGCTGTCAAGCTTCAAGAGATTGGACCTAGGCTGACTCTTCAGCTCATTAAAGTTGAGGAGGGGTTGTGTTCTGGTGGGGTCATCTTCAGTGAATATGGTATGTGTTCTTGAATATGGCATTTTCTCTGTTTTTGTTCCTCGCTCTGTTACAATTCAAGGACTTGCTCCTATAAAGCCTCCGTGAAGAAAGTGTATTTTCAAATTAACCTGTTTTTATTCTGGAAATGTAGGTGGTGAGAAAAAGCAGGATTACAAGAGTGCTCAAAAGAAAAAGCAGGAAGACACTGACAGTGATCATGATGAAGATGAGGATATGGGTGAAGATGATAGCGAAGGCCTGGAAGTTGATGAAAAAGACTAACTTACGCATTTGTTCGGATAAGAATTCGTGGTAATCCATTTGCTTGACGAAGCGGGAACCGATAGCCGAATTCAACCAAGGGGGGATAGCAACACTCTTGAATCAAATTACGTGGGACTGAGTAAGCTTCCTTAACTACTACTGCGTTATCTGTTTCAGTTTAAGAGATGTTCATAAAATCAAATTTTGCATTTCCTTTTACGAAAACGCTTAGGTTGTCACAGAAAACGCTTAGGTTGTCATTATTTGGGAAGAAAATGGCTATATGATATGGGTTGTGTACTTAGCCAGATGCTAGATTTCATCCATCTACTGTTTGTATAAATGGATTCTATCAGTAATGTTCTTTTGATTACATTATCTAAGAACACTTTTGTATTTGGAATCCAACTGAAAATTAGTATCATATTCTGGTGATGATAGCAGAATTTGTATCACCATTTGCCCATCTTTTCATGGTGTGTTTAGTATCATTTTATTCCTGTTAACCATATTAGATGTTGCAGTAAGGTGATTTTGATTGGGTCCCGAAAATCTAACGAATCTCTATTAGTTTGATTATGTTTAAGTCAATTCGATCATGTAAGCTTGTTGGTAGGTTCACCTAAGGTGTGTTTGAGAAACTTTTGCTCTTTAATCAATAGGTACTATCGGTATAGGGTATCGATTGACCTAAATTTCTCGTAGAAACGAAAATTTGATCCGACTTGAAGGGATCGACCATTTTCTCAGACGAAAAATCTCGAGAAAAGTTCGACAATGCATTCTTTTCTGCTGTATCCTTCCATATTGGCGACCCCAGTCCAACCAACGTATTAAATAAAATGAAAGCATTGTGGGCTAGTCTGTTTTCGAGTGTCTTCAAAATAGCATTTTTCCGACCATCATATCTCTTATTGATCTCATCTTCTTTCGGAAGTCAAAATTGGATTTAATTATTAATTTATTTACCGTTTCAATCTTGTTCTCTATTGTTTGGTTGAATTAAATATGGGCAAGTTTGTATTTTAAAAAATAAATCATATTTAAAAATAAATATATTTTTTATTACATAAAAAATAGAATGTATTTATGAAATTTGATCAAACCTAAGGCCAAAATGGAAATGGTCAAATTAAAATGAAATCTCAATTATTGGGGTAAATTTGTAATTTCACAATTCTATTTTTCATATATTTTAATTTTGTATGGGCCAGCGCATGCGTCGGTTCAACTTCAATCATGAAATGTCACGTCTAAGTCCAAGACAAAGAAAGGTCATATTTTTCCAACGTTGTCAAATATATATATATTTTTTTTCTTTTTTTTTAGAAAAAAAAAAAGGTCTAATCTTTTCTCCATTATAATTATTAATATGATTTAACTTATTTTGTTTTAAAAAAATTACTCTAAATTAAATATTATAAAATATAAGAAAAATAATAAATGAAAAGAGTTATACACCGAGAATATAATCTCTGTCCCCGATCACATTTATAACTAACAAGAAAAATATCTCTCTCACTCCCTCTCTCATTCCAAACACCATCTTACTCGAGACGGTCTTTGTGGGTCCCTACCTTGCTAGTTAAGTGGACATCTTTATGCACAATCAACTTAATGTTCATAGGTATATGAAATCCGAGGATTTGAACATTCAATCTTCGTCAATACTATATTTATTTACCCGACCTAACATATTAATAACTTGACCTAATAAATTAAACGAATAAATGCTATAGTTGACATTCTTAATGGGTTTGGTTACAAATGAGAAAAGATGTGGGACAAAGGCAAGAAGACAATTATATAATGACTTACTTTATCATAAATTAATATTATAGTTTGAATATGAATTTGGACATTTTCATTTTCATTTTTATTGAACAGAACTTTGCTTAAAATACTAATTACTTCAACCTAAATCTTGTTACAGCTAGGCACGTGCCGCTGCACATGATTAAGATTTGTCTCCCATATTATTCTCCTTACTTACAACCCTTTAGTGTAGATTCAACAATCTCCGCATAAAAAGAAAAAAATAGGTTAATTTAGGGTTTAGGGTCGTTCGAAGCGTCCAAAACACTCACTTCCTCGAAGTCGGTCGCTTTTTCGAGTACATATTCATCTGGGTCGTATTGAATTCTGTGTCTGAACATCTTTATATACACCTCTTAATTGATGATATATATTTTAATCGGTTGATCTATGTTCAAATTGACAAACATTAGTTAGCCTCTTAATCGATGATTTTATTATTAGGAGCGTTGATTTCATAAAAATATAATATATTTATCAATTTTTAACGGAATAAAATATATTTAACATCACACCATCATTTTATTTATATATCGTGTTAATGACATTCAACTCAACCCGTTAAATTTGTAATAACTTCGGCTTTTATTATTATAAATTATAATAAAGAAAATTCGAAACTTGTAAGAACTAATTATATTTTGGAAAGAAAAAAAAATTAATAATTTAAAAAATAAAAAAGTCCATAAATTAGAGATTGCGTGGATGTAAGGTTACATGTCACGTTGAACACGTGGAGGAAATTGGGGCAATGATTGGGGCTTTACATTAACATTCCTCCATAACCTTTGGAATTTAGACCTAACATTTTACATTATGAACATTGCATTATTATTATTTTTTTCCAAACTTTAAAATATTCCCACAAAAAAAAAAAAGAATATAAATAATTATAAAAAAAATTAAATTATGAATTTAATTCTCGAGTTATATTCAAGTCAGCTTACGTCAATTTTTTAATGATATTTTGTTAGGATATTAATATTAAAAAGTATTTTTATAAAATTAAATAATTTTATTAAAATTTATTTTAAATTATTACATCAGGATTATTTGAATGAATTGGATTTTGTAAATTAATGGAAAAAAATCAGCTATTTTTTTTATGGCATTATTGTAAATTTGATTCCTTATATGTTGATGGAATATTATGTGAATTATAAAAGACAAAATTATAAAAAAAAAATTATTTTAAAAAAGTGTTCAATAATAGTTTATGACACGTGGCGACATTCTATACGTTTCACTATCTGCCAAATTGGCCGTTACATTTGTCAATCAAATGTTATTATTTTGAAGGTTTTATTTGGATTATATTATTTATTATAGTAAACAATTGCAAATATTTCTCATTTTAGTTTTAAATTTGTTTTATTTTTATTTTTAATTTTAAATTTTGTTAATTTTAGTCATTACACTTTTAAAATGACTAATTTAATTTTAAAAATAAAAAAATTATATATTTTAGTTATTAACTCCATTTTTTTATTTTACAAAAAAAAATATATTAAAATGGTTATTTTTTAAAAATTTAGGGACTAAAATGAAATACCGATAGTCGAGAGACAATAAAATAAACTTAAACATTTAGGGAGAAAAAGTATACGATAGGATTCTTGTGGAGGAGAAAAGGTAATTAAAGAGAGTTTAATAGCCAGAATAACTATATACGTAAAGCAAAACTCGTGAGAGAAAGATGCGTGTATGAGGAGAGCGACTACTAAGAAAAGTCTTATATATACGTACGTAAAGAGATAAGATATTGAAAAAGAGTGCACCGAGAAAAAAAGAACGTCATAAATTACTTTTAAAAACAAAAAAAAACTATTCTCACGGGCCAATCTGAGTTCTTATAATATGTTTAGTTTCTACCTGTCATTGGTTCAAGTTAATTACGTCTAACTATGAAGTAGCTCGCTGTTTCGATAAAAAAATTGACATCAGCAAGTTGGGTTCGGTGGACGGAGACAAATCCAGTGGCGACTATGAATTAATTTTTATTTTTATTGTTATTTTTTTTAAAAAAAAGTCAATGACACTTGGAAATTTTCAAATTTGCCAACTTGGACCCCTCTAACCCTCTCCCAACCCCATTATTTAATTAATAATTTTTTAAAATTACCCTTTTTTATAATTAATTTATAGCCACACCCCAATATTTTATCCCTATTTTTATAATTAATTAACATTTTAGTCCACCTCATATATATATATATTTTAGATTATTCCTTTTTCATTTTTATTTATTTTATTCTTGGTTGGTCGATTTTTTTAAAAATATTTAAATTAATTATATGAATTTTGTTTACAAAAAATACTATTTTAGATATTTTTAATTGTTATTTATGCGAGAGAAAAATATATTTATTGTTTTAAGTGCTAAAGTTTTTCCATAAATTAATTAATGACTAAAATAAAAGTTGAAAAAGCTATAAATTAATTAAGAATAAAACAAAATTAAGACATTTATTTTGATTTTAATGTATATTTAATGCTTCTACATAGATTAAATCAAAACAAAACAAATTATAAATAGTCAAATAAGGACATTTTGTTCGAGATCTCCACGCCTTCGATCAAAATCATACCATATAAAATGTGACAAATAATAGAAAAAAAGTCTAATGAACGATAAAATCAGACCAACACGTAAAGGATCGAACCACAAAATAAAGAAGAAGAAATAATTGGATCGAAATTCAATTGTATGTCGTCGACCTCTTGTCGTTGAGCAACATGAAGGAGACAGAATTAGGTCAAAACCTGCTCCTAGCTCGTGGCACCTTGATTAAGACTAGTTTGAACACCGCTAGTTCATTTTGACCCGTTATGTATCGTCGTTAGTCTCTTTATCCAACTGATGTGAGATCTCACAATCTACTCTCTGTAGAGGCTCAACGTATTCGCTGACATACTGTCTTGTGACTGGCTCTGATAACGTTTATAACAACCCAAGCCCATTACTAGTAGATATTGTTCGCTTTGACCTGGTACGGATCGTCGTTAAACTTAGGATTTTTTTATAAATAAACAACAAAATTTAGCCCAAATTAAATTTAAACAAGAACGATATAATATTTATTTAAGAACAATAATTGAGAAAACTTCCACATTTGCCACGGATCACTAAATCAGCCAACAATAGAAAACAAGAGTTACTTAATGGCATTTACGTAATAAATCCCAACTATTGCCCTTTTTTTCCAACCTCTCTCCCTTTAAAAGCTCCAAAAATCGCCTCCTTCCCCCATCAGAAAAAAAAAATAAAAAAAGAAAAAGAAAAATTATATACCCCCTCTCCTCTGTCCTCACCTCACCTCCGCCGACCGGGATCCCTTATTCCCGGCCACCCGCCACTCCGCCGCCGTGAAAAAAACAAAATCCGCCTAAACCCCATCTGATTTCCCAATCGGATTTGAAATAAAGAAATGGGATCGGAGCTAATTTTCAGAGGGCACGACGAGACCCATCCCACGGCGGACGCTTATTCCCCCAAACCCCCAAAGCCATGGCTGTCCGTCACCCGTCCGATCCGCTACATGCTCCGGGAGCAGCGCCTCCTCTTCGTCCTCCTCGGCATTGCCATCGCCACCGTCGCCTTCACCCTATTCCCCTCTTCCAATTCCGCATCCCAAGCCAGCTACAACTACGACCCGATCCCGACAGAGCTAGCTCGGTGGTCAAACACGCCGTCGTACGAGCACCGCCCCCGGTTCCACGTCCACCGCATCATGAACTCCGGAGGCAAAATACCACTCGGGCTAAAGCGAAAAGGACTACGGATCGTCGTCACCGGCGGAGCTGGGTTTGTCGGGTCGCACCTCGTGGACCGTCTGATTGACAGAGGCGACAGCGTCATCGTGGTCGACAATTTCTTCACCGGACGGAAGGAGAACGTGATGCACCATTTTGGGAATCCGCGATTCGAGCTGATCCGACACGATGTGGTCGAGCCGCTACTTCTTGAAGTGGATCAGATCTACCATCTCGCCTGCCCTGCTTCCCCTGTTCATTACAAATTCAACCCTGTCAAGACCATCATATCCTTTTGATTTGATTTTGATTTTTACAGTTCATTTTCGTTGTCTATTTCGAATTTGGGTTCTGGGTTTTCTTTAACTTTGGGTTTTGGAGGAATTTACAAGACCAATGTGGTCGGAACTTTGAACATGTTGGGTTTGGCGAAGAGGGTGGGAGCTAGATTTCTGCTGACCAGTACCAGCGAAGTTTATGGAGATCCTCTGCAACACCCACAAGTTGAAACTTACTGGGGCAACGTCAATCCCATCGGTCAGTTTCATTTCTTCTTCCTTAATTTCTCCGAATCCAATGTTTGAGCGGAGGCGGCGGAGGAATGGTTTTTCACCTGATATGCAGGGGATTAAATCCGGGGAAGGGTAGAGATGGTAAAAGGATGAACCGATGGGGGTGTTTGGGTCTTTTCAGGGGAACCGCCATGTTTGAACCTAGATCTGAAGAGGAAGGGTAATTCGGTAAATTTGAAGTGGTTTGTTATTGTCGGAATGTGTGACAGGTGTCCGAAGCTGTTACGACGAGGGAAAACGGACGGCCGAGACGTTGACCATGGACTATCACCGAGGAGCTCAAGTTGAGGTTGGTCGCCATTAATTATAATATTAAGTAGTTTAATTAATTAATTAATTAATTAATTATGTTTCCTTTTGCAGGTTAGGATTGCTAGAATTTTCAACACTTATGGCCCAAGAATGTGCATTGATGATGGGCGTGTTGTTAGTAATTTTGTTGCCCAGGTTAGCCCCTTCTTTTTTTCAAATAATATCTTTAGACGTCAGTTTTCGTATCAAAACATCAACTTTTTAGATTAAGCTATGCTCGGGTTGGTCTTTAGACTATTCTTCTATTGTACACACCACCTCGACTAGTTTCATTGGACCATCCGTCTTACTCTACCATATTTGTTTGACATGGAAACATGTAAGATGTTAAATCCTAAGCTGGTGGTCGCCATGAATTGAACCCATAGTGGTTAACTCCACCCCATCGTTAAACGTTGTTCTTGTGGCAAACGATGAATGTGTATAGTGTATGGACGGGGCTAGGAAGATAAATGACTCTGATTATAATTAAACGAAAACATAATGTAGAGTTAAAAGATGCCATTTAAAGTTTTAGGGACGAAATAGACACGAAAACGAACGGATTTTGTTAAAATTCATGTTGGGTTATGCAGGCTTTGAGGAAGGAGCCTCTCACTGTCTATGGTGATGGGAAGCAAACAAGGAGTTTCCAATATGTTTCTGATCTTGTAAGCATTTTTCCCTCCCTTAATGTCTTTCTGATCAAATCTATGTTATATTGCTCGAAGATGATGTCGTTTATCGTTTTTTGGTCTAATGAATAAGTAATTTTTAAGTTCGTATTCGTATTGTGTTAATTATGGAACTTTTGGATCCAATGATCATTTGAAACTCGATTTGAAGTCATAGTTGGTTTGTCGTTACGATAAGACGATGTGTTTGTTTAATGTTCGATAGGTGGAGGGATTGATGAGGCTTATGGAGGGAGAGCATATTGGACCCTTTAATCTTGGAAACCCCGGTGAATTCACCATGCTTGAACTTGCCAAGGTACATTTCTTGGCGAAGTAATGTAGTGAGAAGGTTGTAAAAACGTAACGATGATAATAACCTCGGTCATATGTATGTATGTATGTATGTTGTGTGAGCAGGTCGTGCAGGAAACGATCGACCCGGATGCGAAGATAGAGTACAGGCCGAACACAGAGGACGACCCCCACAAGAGGAAGCCAGACATCACCAAGGCCAAGGATCTTCTTGGTTGGGAACCCAAAGTTTCTCTCCAGAAGGGTCTCCCACTCATGGTCTCCGATTTTCGACAACGTATCTTTGGCGACCACAAGGACAGCAGTGGAAGCGCCAAGACAGCAGCGTAGTCGTCGTCCCAGGTTGTTCTTGCATCGGTTAAAGTATAATGGTTAAAACGAATAGCTCGAGGGGGAGGTCGAGAAGCAAAAGGAGTGGAAGTGAAAGCTTATAGGTTAGAATTTGGGTGATATGATGCTTGTTTTTTGGATTTTGAAACAGTTGTGTTGTAAGTTTGATTAGAGAAAGTGGGGTTGGCTTAATTTGTGGTTGAGGGAATCACAATCAATCCATCCCTTTCACATCAATTACAGATTTCTTAACAACAAAAATAAAATAAGGATCAAAATCATTGAGCTGAAATTGTAGCTGCCAAACTTTTTCTGTTCCTTTTGAATTTTGAGAAGATTGTGTTCATGTTCTTTAGAAATTGTAATCTAGTCAAGGTTCAATGACTATGTAATCTACGATATCAATCAGGCTCGATTTCGCTATATCGTACAAGTAAAATTCTGCTACGCCTACGCCTAAAAGTTGGAGTAATCGACATGCTCGACAGAATTTAGTTTGAGAATTAAGCTGTACTTACTGGATGTTCATCTCCCTCAACAACACTTCAGCTGCAGCTGCCTTTTCCCTGCACTGTGGACTTGTTGCATCCTGTAGAACTTGCTGTTCAATATCTGCCAAGTTAGATTTCAACAAGAACAGCTCTTCAATCTCATATTCATAAAAGCTTTTAGTTTATTTTTTTTTTACTACAAGAACAAAATATGATAATGAAAATCAAACTTTACTACGAGTTCAACGATAATCATGGCAACCGCTGTGTTCATGGGATCCGAGATCCGTTCTATTCCTAGTTAAGAAAACTGATCTGAATAGAATTTTCAGCAAGTTCATGATGACAGTATTTTACACACGATCTCCTGTACTGAGAATCAAAAGATAGCAGTTGGCTTTCCATACAGGGAAGAGACCAAGATTTGCTATCCTATTTCTTTGCATAAGTTATCAACATCGAGTTTTGCGGGTTCATCTTGAAACCTTGTAGCGCTTGCATGGCGACTGTCGATTGTACCTCATCGGCGTACTCTACAAATGCAATACCTGGCTTTGCTTCGATCATACGAACCTCCTTAAAACCAGGGTACTGACAGAACAGCATTTGTAGCATCATTGGAGTCGTTTCATGGGGAAGATTTTGTACAAACAAAATGCTATTGGGTGGGGCTGGTGCTTCTGGCACCATAACTCCACCAGAATAAGGTACTTGAGAGTGCTGCACCATTTTCAGGGGAGGAAACGAAAGAGAGATTGCGTTAGCAACATACAATTTCCAATAAATAAACATAACGAGTACCATAATTATAAATATGATGAATTAATTGGCAAAGGGTTCTTGTAACGACCTTAAGGGAACATCTGATAAAATTTAGGGTCGTTACAGTTCTTTAACAAGCATGATTGTATGAAACAAGGAAAAGACGGATAAATTCAAAAAGAACAACAAAAATGACTCTTACTACCCTGGAGCAAGTTAAAAGAAATAAGTGCCCTATGTCAATGAATAGCATACAAATTAAGAATCGTTCTTAATATAGTGAGGAGAGTGAGAAACGAAAAAGGTCGAGAGCGAATCATTTTTAATGAACAAAATTAACCTAAAGTAGTGAAGTTCTACCTTTTATTAGTTATTACATTCTAATACTCTCATTCTCTATAATCTTATAGTTGATAATCATGTCAGCCATATCATATCAGTGAAGCACTTAGAATACATTTTTCAACAACAGGTGAACATATAATATCTTGATCGTCTTTGTTGGAGAATTAAACTATGTATATGAGGCTCAAATCTAGAAATGAATATATTATAGATATAAAAGTTTATAAAATTTATCAAAGACCAAACTTTAGGAATTAAATAGAGATACTTACCGCTGTTGCACCATATGCTCCACCAAAAGCAGGATTCATACCCATCCCAGCTTGATTAGCATCATGCTGCTCTTTCTTCTTCCTCCCTACCACATCGAAAGAATGGACAGATCTTAGATCAAAAGACTGCTACATAAACTATAAGACAACATTTTCCTTACTTTCTGAAAAAAAGTTCCTTTTTTTTTTTTTTTATAAGAACTTACTGAAAAGTTACTTCCCTAAGATGTCAATACTGCTCCAATAGATTTGAATAAAATACCTAAAGTAAAAACCTACAACACTCTACTATTGTATCAAATACTGAAGAAAAAGATCTTCATGAACCAAGCTAATTTAGACACATTTGAATTTGAATTGTCAAATAGAAAATGGAGACAAATTATACCCTTCTCCTCATGCCTCTTTCGTTTCTCCCGGGGAACAAATGTACCATCAGACTTCGAGATAACATCCGATTTCGTCTTTGCATATTGTATCCTCTACATGATTGCAAATCAACAACACTTAACTTCGTATTACACCAAACTTCGTCAAGCTAACAAAAGACGAATAATAGAACAGAGCAACAAATGATACAAAAAATTGGTCGCACTTTATAACATGGAGAAGATACAAAGCCTACGACACCGTACAAAAATGCATAGAGAACGTAGATGTTAGCCACCAGACCTACAAACCAGAAATGCTCAACAGATATAGAACTATCACAAGATTGACAGAAGCCACGTTTGACAACCATATGATGTGTGTCAAACTATTAAGAACCAAAGTAATAAAGCTCAGGAGTATACTCAAACATCTGCAATGTGATATTTTTAAGAAGTAATCATTCAAGATCACTGCTCAGGGTATTGATCATTCAAACAATAATTGTCCTTTAACCTTGCTAAAATGAAATCAGCTATGAATATTCATAGTAGACCACACCATCAGTACAGCAATCTGCAAGCAATCACATTATTTCCTAGCCATGTGCGAGTAAATCTCAACTACCTAGATGATTCATAACCCAAACAAAGTTCCAATTTGGTTACTCAGAAGAATCTATCAGAACTTTCATAATTTCCACATTGACTCACATTAGTATAACCCTCCGTTTGAGCCAAGAAATTGCAAGAAACAATTTAAAATTGGAGCAATCAATTTCAATTCTTTATCGACGATAACCACCCTTTCACTGCAAGAATTAGTAGGTTCTAGTAAGCACATTACCATAGGCTTATCATAGAAAGGAAAGCCCTGCATTTGTCTAAGCGCATTAGTGGCAGAAGATACTTCTTCGAAGACAACCCAAGCCTGTCCTTTGTGCTTCAAGGTTTTGAAAGCCAATACTTCCAGAATCTTCCCGAACTGCGAGAACACCGCGTTCAGCGACTTCTTCAATTCTGCTCTTACAAAGAAGAAAACAATAAAAATTACAACACATTTCAGACTATTAAAGAAGCTTCGACATTCCCCTCCCCTCAAAAATACCTTCCAGCTTGATTTTCTCGTTGAGATTGTTAATGTAGATGGTCATGTTCGGAGGAATCTCATTGCCAGTGCTGTTGACCTCCGCCATTTCTTACACCACCGTCCGCCGAATAGAAATGCTTAAACAGCTAAACCACAAACGTCGAAAGAACACAACGACGGTCGACTTCAGAAAACGACGGCTCGGTCCGGTACATGCAATTCCACCGCCGCTCACAGAGGTCTGATCGGTCCGGCAGAGGCTGAAAATGAAAGCCCTAACTACGGCTGCAGGAGAAGAAGCAGTGGGCTGCCACTGATTTTGGGCTTATACTCTTCGGGCTTTCCCTTATTGGGCTTCATTTTTTAGCCCACAGCAAATCCGTCAAAAATACAATAAAATATTATTTTGTTATTTTTATGTTACACTTTATTTCCATGAATTTCCTTATATTTTTAATTAAATTTTTGGTCATGTTTTACATTATTTTAATTAAGTTCGACACTAACCAAATAATTTAAAATTATCGAACAACAAAAACTTATTATATTTTTTTTAGACATAATACTATTTTTATTAATTTAGCCTTAATTTTTATAAATATTTTTATTAATTGGCCTTAATTTTATAAATATTTTATTGATTTAGCCTTATTTTTAAAAATATTTTATTAATTTAGCCTTAATTTTTATAAATATTTTATTAATTTAGCCTTAATTTTATAAATATTTTATTAATTTAGCCTTAATTTTTACGATGGCTTTTGAGCTTCGAGGAGGCTGCTGGACAATAACAGCAGCTGTTTGAATTTGAATAGTCCAATGTTACCGAATTTCCCGGAAATTAAAGTCCAACTAAGCTTTGACTGTTCTGCCTATGCCCGCACCACCTAGGACCCACGATTTTCCACGTGGACGGTTTTCAATGGGTGTTTGAGTTAAATGTTGGAAAATTAAATCAACACGTGTACGTACTTTTTGCCTTTCTTTGACGGGTCCTCTAAACCCGACCCGGTTTGACTATTTCCACTTTCCACGTCACTTCTCTTCCGTCTTTATAAATAATCTTCACGATCTCTGTTTTTTCCATATCTCAAACGCAAATTTTCTCGAGAATTTTCCCGAGAAACAAACGGAAAATCTCTCCATGGCTCGCTCTTTCTCCGCCGTCAAGATCGCGTCGGCTCTCGTCTCCGATGGACTCTCCAACACTCTCTTCCGGTACTGAAATAGAACAATTCTCTGTTTTTCTTTTTCTTTTTTTATTAAATTTTATAAATAAAAAATACCCCTTTTTCTTTATTAAATTATTCTGGCTTACGTGCTGTGTGATCGGACAGACGTGGGTATGCGGCGGCGGCACCACAAAGCGTTGCGGCAAGAATTGGCGCCAAGACGGTAAAAAGTACAGAGAAGGAGTCGTGGGTCCCAGACCCGGTCACCGGCTACTACCGGCCGGAGAATTGCGCCGCCGAGATCGACGCCGCGGACCTCCGCGCTATGCTTCTGAAGGCGACAAGGAAGTAAAAATGAGTTGAAAAGCTTGGAGTGATGTCGAGGAGAGCCAATCTTGGTTACGCTGCTGGGCTATTGACTATTATTTGAAAAGTTTCTATATATAATTTTTTAAAATTATTTCATAAAAATAAATAAATAAATAAATAATGTTCTTTAGTGTCTCGAGTACTAATCGCAGCTCATAACCATTCAGTCATGTTAACCTTGCAACCTTAGTGATTCTCGATAGCCAGTTGTATCATCTTGACTTGAAATCCATAAGATAGAAGATGTTATTTGTTGATTTTAATCTTGTTTGCATAGGCTCGTGCACGTATTCATGCTCAAGAATCTTAGAACCTTTCACTTCAACACGTCTTCGCTCGTGATCGCCTCCTTTTAAAGGACATTTTTAACGGTCCTCTGAGAGTTAACACTGTTAGATGAACACGACTCTCCACAATGGCATGATATTGTCCACTTCGAGCATAAGCTCTCATGGTTGTGCTTTGAGCTTTCCAAAAGGCCTCATACCCCTAATCAAATGCATCACTATTTTATAATCTTAATTTTACTCGATTCGAGCAGAGTTTTGCATTCTACTCAATTAAAAATAATAATAATAATAATAAATAAATAAATAAAACTTACGCCTCCCTAACCTGTTGACAGTCTAGCAAAGCTCCTGTCTCTAGCTTTTAGCGTGTACTCACCCTTAGCTCGTGTCTCTTACTTCTGGTCCACCTTTGTTTAGAGCGGACTAGGCAGGTTTGTTCCATAATTAAAAATGGAAAATATGATATAAGGAAAAAAATTTATGATTTATTAAAATAATTACAGGAAAAAATAACGAATTAGGAAAAGGAATATTAAAAAAATATATATATTTTTCCTAAATCCTTCCGGTTTTTTTGTCCCTCTATATAAACCGTCGATTGTTCTTTCCGGTCGAATAAACGCTTTCTTTTCCCTCTTTTTCTTGTGTAAATTTTCCCGAGAAACAAACAGAAAATTTTCTGGCATTCATGATGGCTCGATCTTTGTCCCGTGTCATGAACATCTCCAGCCTCGTTTCTCTCATCAGGTATTTATCCATCAAAAAAATTAAATATTTAACGAAGAAAATCTAAATAAATATTTATTAATTTATAGTGTAAAATGCAATCCTTGGAAACGTGGTGTGTGTTGGACAGGCGGGGGTATAGGGCGGGGGCGACGGCGGCGTCACAAAGAGTGGCGTCTGGCACGGCGGCGGAAGGAGTTACTGCACGAAGTGGCGGAATGATAAAGAAGGAAGAAGAAGAAAGAAGGACGGAGATGGCGGCGTGGATCCCAGATCCGGTCACCGGCTACTACCGGCCGGAGAACTACACCAACGTGATCGACGAGGTTGATCTTCGTGCTATGCTATTGAAACCGAAAAGAAACGTAATGAATTGAAGAAAAGGAAATACGTTTTTATTAATCAATTTTTATTAATTTGCATTTAATACTTTAATAAAGATTATTATTCTTTTTGATCTTGCACTCATTTAACCCGGTCGGATCTATTTTCTCGACTGTGTAACCCATCTTAGTACATATCTCCTTTGTTCGAGAGTTTAATCTTTCGTTATTGTTTACCGTGAAAGAATAGCACGGTTCAGAGAACACTTTCGTATGTGATGCAAGTGAACGTGGTAGGCAACGATCTAGTTGTAAGATGATTTATGTGTGCTTCAATCCCTCTTTCTATAGCTCAAATTTGCTCGTAACGATTGCAAGCGGATCTTTTCACTCTATCCCACGCCCTCAAAGGTCCTTCCTCCGACGCCTCTCGTTCATTCTACTTCATCCTTTCATGTTTGTATATGAAAATAACCTACTCTCGATGATCAAAACCTTGACTTCTATGTTATTATTAAAGCGTGAGAGCGTTCTAATAGCTTATCGGTTCTTGTGAAAATTCCACTCGTTGATCTAGAATCGTGACAGGGTTGTCTTTTTGGTTGAAATGGGATGAAACGGAGCTATTATCCCAAACCCTCGATAGTTCACTCTTGCTTCTTGTAGTAATACCTTTCTAGAGTAAACGTCCCGTAGAAGATCATAAAAATGCCTCGAATCAACTTTTCTCGATTGACGAAAAAAAAAAAACCCTAAAGTAGTTTCACTCTCGAGCTACTTTCGTTAAGATTACACATCAAACTCGAGAGGGATGGCTCCAACCAAATTTTCATATCGAGAGTTTATTTCAAAGCTCAAAAAACCCCTTTTAATATTTTTTATTTTAAAGCTCGTCCTTCGAATTATGTTTAAGCTAACCATCTAGTTGGGAACGAGTCGAATGACTGAGGTTTAATACGTCTCATTTATTGAAATCCTTACACTTTGACACGAACATGAAAATGAGCGATTGAGAGGATTCGAAACAATTGAAGATACGAAAACAAAGAACAAACCAAACGAAACGGATTAGAACTAAGAAACAGAGCGAAGATCAGCAGAATTTTTTAAAGAAATCATGAATATGGGCGTTGGTTTCATTAGGCCTCTCTTGGTTGATGAAATGAGAAGTGTCTTTCATTACAACCACTTCTTCCAAACCAGGCACGTCCCTTTTGAACCCATCGCCATGGATGTACTCTTGAGCTCCTGGAAAATGGTAGGTCAGGTCCAAATCCCCCACTATGTACTTCACTGGCACCCTGATTTCTGACTTTGTCCATGCCGCTGTCAGCTCCCAAGTCCTGTAGAACAGAACCGGACATGACGAGCGAGCGAGTACAAAGAGATTTATGCTCATTAACTAAACAGAATTTGAAACAAGCATGTTCGAGACCCCATTTATTATATATGTACGAATGTGTATATATATAATTTGAATTGTTTTAGTTCTATTTAGGTGTATATATGCATACATATACATATACATTAACATGATATATATATATATACACACATTTCAAATGTTATAACGTTTTGTAATGTTGAAATTAACGTGTGTGATATATACACACATACAGACGTTAGAATGTTTTGTAACGTTGAAATTTAAATTTTTAGAAATTATATTGATAAAACATTAGGATATATTTTAGCTTATGGAATACCTTGAATTTATGGAAATATTTAATATTTTTTTTAATAAAAATTATATTAAAAAACAAAAATTATTCTTTGAAATCATTTAAATATGAAAGTAAAATATTAGAGAATCGATCCAAAAAAAGGTAATTGGAGAATTTTAGAGGTAAAAGGTGAAAAAAAATTTACAACTTTAATTTTAACTTTTTTTTTATAATATTGTTATTAAAAATAAATGTAAAATCGTGGTTAAAAAAAAAATAAAAAAAATGAAAAAGGTGAAAATATTTTTGTTACCGGTTAAAAGCTCGGTAGTAATTGAGGCCACCGGTGAAGCCAGTGCGGGAGAACTTGTCAGCGTAAACGTCGATATCTTCCGGCGTCAGCCACGTGGCGGGCGGCGGCGGTGGAAGCCCTTCGAATTTAACTTCTCCGGGCAAATATGGAGCTCGAGGGTCCCGATTTGACATAACGTCGTTGAAAAACTTTTTAATGTCCACCGTCGCAAACTCTTCCTCAGCCTGCCCTGGTTGCTGTGCACACCACGTGTTAGTATTATTAGGTGTTAGTATTATTAGGAGTGAGTCTCACGTTGGTTAATCGAGACCTTTTGGGAAGCCTCCAAATCAAACATACGGTTCATATTTTCAATGAAATGAGTAGTTTTAAATTTGAGTTAATTTACCTGAAATCTGACCATGTAGAATTGGTCCCCAAGAACGGATTTGAAGGCTTGGACAAAGGGCGTGGTGGGGTTTCTGGGAAAAAATTGGACGCTCAAAATCACGGCGGCCTTGATCCGGTCGGGCCTGAACAAACAGAGATACCAAGCGATTATGGCCCCCCAATCGTGGCCAACTAAAAGGACTTTTTCTATGCCCAGCTCGTCAAGGAGACCCACCAGGTCGCCGACGATGTGCAGGGTCGTGTAGGCGTCGGCGGACGGCGGTGCGTCGGAGTCTCCGTAGCCGCGGAGGTCCGGGGCGATAGCACGGTAGCCGATGGAGGAAAGGTAAATGAGCTGGTGGCGCCATGAGTACCAGAACTCAGGGAAGCCGTGGAGGAGGAGGACTGGTGGGCCGGTTCCGACGGCGGCGATGTGGAGGTTTATGCCGTTGGTTTTGACGGTGGTGTGCTGGATGGCCTCCATTGAAATGGGTGAGTTTTGCTTGATTCTTGGGTGGTGGGTTTATAAAGCAGGGGATGTCCTGTTCCCTGTAAATTGAAATGGTTGTGACCTAGTGGATAGATCTGTTCCCTGTCACTGTTTCCGAATCAAAATCATTTCCACTTAGAATATTAAAAAAGCTACACGACTGAGGAGTTAAACGAACACGACTCTCCACAATGGTATGATATTGTCCACTTTGAATATAAACCCAATGGAGTTAGCAATGAATATAAACGAACACAACTCTGATACCAATGGAGTTAACATTCCTCACTTATAAACCCATGATCATTCCCTAAATTAGCTGACGTGGGACTTTCATCATCCAACAACAATACTATCTGAGTATAAGAGGTTCTAGTGCTTGAAAGGGACAGTGTTTTTGAAGCATCACTGACCAATAATAATTTACATCCATGACATCATTTATAAACATCAGATAAAATAAATTAAAAGTAAAAGTTTATAGATATAATTGAAACATGTCCAAAATTTAAAGATGTTTTGTGTAATTTAATCTAGTTACAAGTCTCTGTTTGTCACGTGTTACATTGTAATTTATACACTACTGTAGTTATGGGCACATATTATATTGAAGCTATTCCAATGATGTGTAACAATATAGATTTAACGTGTATATCATATTATATTGGTTTAAAGATATAGATTCACATTCTCGATGCTCGATGCTCGATGTAGAGATTAATAATGTAGGCGTTGAAATTAAATAATTTCAATTATTGTTTCTTTTTTTGGACATTTTTATATTATTATCTTTATTTTCTTGTTGGCCGTCTTTTCATTGGTTCATAATTGACTTAATATCTTATATTATCCTATAATTCTTTTATATTAAAATTTTGAAATAATAATGGAGCTACTGTTACCCTTTTCTTTTTCGTTTTACTGATTTTAAAAATTATAATTGTTCTTTTACAATTTATTTGTATAATTTAATATATATATTTAAAAAAAGTTTTAAAAAAAATTTATTAAAATTTATATTAATATTTTTTAAAGGAAACTCTTTTTGCCGTATGAGTTTATATATTTATGAAAATTGAGAATTATATTTCAAAAGGGAATAAATTAATTAATTGACCCCAAAAAAATTGGTCAAAATTCAATATCGATGGCGAGAACTATTAAATAATTCAAATTTAATATAAAAATATTTAATTCTCTCGCGGATACGTGCGGTATACATTTGTTTACAAAATATAAATAAATGACAAATCCAATAATACAATTTACGTATTATTTATTATATTCTAGTTATAGAAATTGATGCATATTCAGCAGGTTTGCCCGAGAGGTTAAGGGGGAAGACTTAAGATCTTCTGCACATAAGTGCGCGTGGGTTCGAACCCCACAGCCTGCAATTGCTCCAATTTTTTTTTTTCCAAAGGAAAAAAGCAATAATTAAAGACTATTCTAGAAATATATTTTAATTTTATTTTTATTTTTATTTTTTATGTTACGTAACCTTATTTCATATTCTGTTAATGTAATTCTAATATGGCAATCATATTATTATATTGTATTAGTTTGAATTACTATTTCACCTTTTATTTTCATAAATTTAAAATTATAAATATTATTTTCTATTTGTTTCTTTAGAAAAACAACTCAATTTTTTAAAATTTAAAATAAATATCTTTTATTTTTTATAATTTGGTGTATGATTTAACACTTGAAATTTATCAATCTTCCACAAATTTGAAAGTTTTAAAAATAATCAATTTATTAATAAACATATAAATATAAATTTTATGCTTTCCCTAATTTTCAATTTTGTTTATATATGTAAATTTGTTAATAAAAAATAAAAAAAATAAAAAGAAAGTTTAAGAACCAAATAGAAAATTACCTTCGGAACAAAACTGCTTGGCAACTCCCCGTAACGTTACCGAGCAGTCAAGATCACAACATGAGATCGAGAACTAAAACGAGTATCACAACAGTACAAGATGGGTTCTTCTGCATTTAAATATATACACAAACATAACTTTATTTTTACACAATCGTACCACCAAAGGCTCAAAAACCTTGATCAAGTAAAGCAGTTCCTAAACCACAAGAAGCTCAATGATCATCGATTGCCAAAGGAACAGAATTTGCCTAATGAACCAAAAGTACATCCAATTATCAGATCAAAAACATGGATGTGTATGTAACTTGGTTAACTAGAACAATAAAATAT